GGAAAAAACATAAAAGATCGCAGGTACGATGGAAGGTACAATAAAATACTCTAGCTACTAGAGCTCTGACAACTGTCGTCATAATAGAGAGGGGGAGAGAAACAGAATTCGGACGCGTGTGCTTCCACATTCGTGTCAATTGGTGTTCGTTAGAAATATCGATGGACAATACACATATGCAGCACAGTGCAGCACTGTGCATACGTAACCGGTCGTAACCACGATCAACGTTTATCGCAATGAGATGAGACTCTCACGTCGCGGAGGAAAGGAAGGAACTTAGCGTTTGAAAGGGAAAACAGAGAGGAAAAGGAGTGAAACGCCGGTCGATCTCCGCAATCTGCTTTCCATTCCTCTTGTTTCGATTGTGAAGCCGGAGGTACATACTTATTATACTTTCTCATACTTTACGTACGTTGCGATAACTTTATTTAACGTTGCGTCTTCAGCGATTAATTATCGTTTGCTTAAAGATTTTGAATTAGAAATCTTCCGCTTTCTCTCTACAATAAAGGTTACGATATAGCTTCTCACGTGTAATGTCAAAATCTTTTGGAAAAGAGAGTTGATTCTCTTTCAAGATTGCGGCGGCAAAGCCGCTTTGAGTTTTTTATGTCTGTAAAATATAGTAATAGGTCCTACTTTTTAATGGTTAAACTGGTATGTACTTTTAGAACTTAAATTTAAAGTAGGCATACATGTTTGATGAAATTAAGAAAATTTTAGTACAGTCTAGTGCAGGAATAAAAAATAAACTTTATGTCATTTTATACTAAATATAGTATAATCATATGTGTGGGTGTTTGCAGCGATAATGACAACACCTATGTGTGAGGATGGTGGACCGTTGAGAGAGTGGGCGCCGCTCGCCGTCCTTCTGCAACAGATACCTGCCAAAATACAGAATGGTATTTTTATGCAAGACATCAGTTTTACCTGCATCGATGCCCTGACTGAGTTTATCGCCATCGGAACAAATCACGGGCTCGTTTATTGGTACAACAGAGAGAAACAGGATCTGCAGAGATTACGTTGCGAGGTATTTAAAAAATTTGTAGAGACCTGCTATTTCCTCATTAAATCAAATCAAACGTATAGGATAATGTCCTTTCTCTCTTATTGCAGAATACTAACTCCAAAATTACGAGTGTACAAGTGATCTCCACGGTTGATTATATGGTTGCAGCAGGCAATGAACATGGTGTTGTTACAGTTTTTCAAATTCCCAAGAATCCGCCAGACTCATTGCCGAACAGTTTAAAACCAAAACAGAAAAAACAGGTAAATTATAAAAATGAAACTTATGCATGTAATACGAAAAGAATATATGAATGTCTTGATGTTACTTTTTTGCAAGGTTGAAAGGTACAGTATAAGTGGCTTGCATAATACTGCAGTGACAGCAGTGGAGTGGTCTAAGAATGGTATGAAGTTATTCAGTGGAGATAAAGACGGTTTAGTAGTTTTAACAGAGATTGATTTTTATATGGTAAGTGGATAATTAAAAGTTTTTTCCTAATTTCTTTTATTTTCTCATAAGTATGAATATTTGATGACATTTTATACTATTTGTAGCATTTATCTAAATCATCGAAATTGTTAAATGAAAAATATTCTATAGTACAATTGAGCTATCAACAGGGCTTGCTACTAGTCTCGACAACATTACGTACAATTTTAGTAAACAGAAATGAAAATGGGAAAGTGACACAAGTTGGCCAAAAAGAACGTAAAACGTTGGTATTTTTATATTCATTACATGTTCATATTCATAAATTAAAGAAATATAATATTTTGGTGCTTTAGACTAGGTAAATTAGGAGCAGTGTTTGGTTCTCGACAAATTTATATGCAAGAACCGCTAATCTATGCAAGTAGACCAGGATTACGTTTATGGCAAGCTGATAAGGCTGGGACTGTACTGAAAACACTCATATTTAAGGTACCAAATTAACATACATATGCATTTATACTAAGTCATCATTTTTTTTATGTTATCACAAATTATAAATATTCTTAAAAGGATGCAGTTAGATCGGGCCATACAGAAGTGGCGTTATTAAATCCTGCACCTGAAGGATCAAGAAAGAATCGTGGCGAACCCTCGTTTGGCATCGTTTTACCGTTTTGTGATGATTTATTAATAACGTACTGTGATGATATAGTCTACGTAGTAAATCCGAATACTATTGCAATAACATCGATCGTAAACGATTTACGACGCGTTACCGACGTGGCTTGTACTAAAGACGAAATATTTATATTGGAAGGAGAAAGAAATATTTTGCGAATTGCCTATTATCCGGAAAATGATATTTTTACAGGTGAGCGCGCAATTATTGTTTCCCCGAATTAGACGTAATTAGATATAAGATTGTCATTTAATTATCTTTAAATTGTTTTTTACAGAAGAAATGAAAAGGACGACGGATCCTTTATTATCATTCACTGAATACAGTAAACCTGTTACTAATGGGATACTAGAACTAACTTCGAAATTAAAAGACAGTAGTATCGTGCCAGCTATTCCTTTTCCTAAAATCGATCCAACCAATATTATTCAATCTGTAAGGTATGCGAAAAGTTATTTCTAGAATAAATAAATATATATGTTTATAAAAACTTGTACAACATATTAGAATTAAAAATTAATTTTTTTTAAATACGATTCAATTAAAAGTAATAAATCAAATTGTGTGTGTGTGTGTGTGTGTAGCATTGCGCCAACTGTTGCTGTTGGTACTGACGACGCGATTATAAACGCAGAAGAAGCTGTGGAAGTGCCGCCGATAGTTCCAATAGATATAAATACCCCACTTGTAACTAATATTAATGAAATACCAGAATACAATGATAATAACAGAATAAGAAATGCAGAAGACATAAAGAGCAATGATCGCCGAGAGATATTCCAAAGAATTGGTCAGCAGGAATTCGAGGACGTCGTTTTTACACCCGAAAGGAAGCAGAAAAAATCTCGAAATAAAGTAATGAATGAAAGCGAAAGTGTCACAAACGGCACTGATCATTTATCGAGCAGTCTAAATACTGATCATGTGAACACCAATAAGACAATGACAACCCATTCCTCTTTAATGCAACTAAGCATTGATGATGATTTTATATTGAAGTCAGATAGAGATTTAGAAACAATCCAACGAGATGTGGAAGACAAAGAGAAACTGTTAGCAGATCTTCTCGATTTTGATTTGTCTAAATATATGACGAGTAGTCGAATAGACAAGGATGACTTGAGTATATCTAATCATATAGATACTGTAACATGCATCAATTGTAACGTACATTCCAACAATGTGGTGAACGAAGAGGAATCGATTAGGAACGAGGAAAATGAGATTGTCGAACAGAGCGATCATACGGGAACTGAATCAGGGGATGAAGATGTCAGTTATTGTACCGAATTGAAGCGATTAGAAGATCTTGGGGAATGCAGAAAGACTCTTTTACAAAATAAACTCGAGGATACTCCATCGGCTGGTAATAATTTTGTCGATATTCGAAAAGAGCCGCCCACGAATCAAGACGAATTAGAACATCAATTTAACGGTAGGTAACTAATGGATTTATCGAAAGTATGGCATTTGTATAACACAATCAGCTACGAATATTAGAAAGTGTTTTTATGCGGACAGTTTTAGCAAAGGAATGTGCCACATCCGTTCTCGAGGAGGAAGAAGAAGATTGGGTTTTAGTCAAAGATGATATACCATCAGTTATGTTTTAAGCAAAAATCGTACGTAGTAGTTGCCTCACGTCTTGTACATATGTCAATATATTATTAAAAGGTACTTAAAAAATAATTAGGAAATTACGTGATACATGACAAGAGTGGTTTTGGATTAAATTCTTTCACTATGAATTTTTTCTTCTGTTTTTCTTTATGTTTTATTAATTGTGGATGGGTTAAACTTTTTTATCTCACTGGTTATCAAACGCCAACAATATAAATTATTGAACGGGATAGAAAAATATTGTTAAAAATATTTTATAATTTTGGACATTATACTTGTAGTATCAGGCACACACACCAATAAATTATCGTGAAATAATATGCATTAAAGTCCTGAGACATGCAGTTTAATTATTTTCATTAACGGACGAAATTACATAAATATCATTGAAAGGTAATACTAGTCACTGCTTGGATTTTACCATAATAATTAATTGTTAATTATGTATAATTATGAATATATTTGTGATCAATGAATGTAACCTTTTACGAATTATATATTATGTAAAATATAATTATGTTTTAACTCCATTATTTAATATAGTAATTCAGTAATCACTCAAGCTTACAATTTGTTGAAATACGTATATATTTTACTATTTTCGGAAAGCAATGTATAATGCAATTCTCAGGTATATATATCTCATTTAACACATATTTTGCATAATCAAATAATATTTTTACACAACACCAGTCATAAAGTCATAAAGCACACAAAGATATACTATTGGTATGATGTATCATTACCACTCAATATTTTGTTATTACAATTTTTAATTAGCGAAAGTTTTAAGTAATCTATGTGACATTTATCACAGATACATTTTGTATATGATACATGTATTATAACATTTTAAGTTTGTATATCAGACAAATAGTGGTCTTCAAGACACTAGGCTTAGGTATTTTTTACACTAGTATCTACTTATTGTTGTTGTTTGTCTTTAATTTCTAGTATATTTCTGTTTATGAGTAGAAGAAAAACAAAAGTATACAACATGTAAAAACTTTACATATTGCATGGCTCTAAAGTGCGTCACTTTGTCATGCGTTATTAATACACTGTAAGGTACGAAAAGTTAAACACAAATAATTATTAATGAATAATTAAACATTTATGTAATTGTATCAAGAATAATTAATGCTTTATTAACTATAAAAAATAAAATCGAGTTTTGAAATTGAATTATATTTTTTTTCCTATTAATATAATTCATTTAACATAAAAAAAAAAAATAATCATTACAGGTTACTTGATCATACAGCTTTATTTCTGTTCGATAATTTACATGATACTCGATATATAATATGTATATGAGTATGCAACATTTTACTTCATTCCTTCATATCGCTATGCTTTTATTACACTGCGGTTTCAATGAGGTCAGTATACATTTTAATTTTGCTAGCGATACTCATGTCTATATATTTGTCACCTACTGATATTATCATACCGCCAATGATAGAAGGATCTACTGTAGTAGTGAGCAAAGAGGTTTGACCCTTCTTCAATAAACGTTTCAACGTAGATTCCAGTTTCGCCTTCATATCAGCATCAAGTGGACTTGCAGTAATTACTTCGCATACTACTTCACCTCTGTTAGCAGCCATAAGCAGCTTGTACAAATTTATTATTGCATTGAGTTTCGTCAATCGGCCATTCTCTGCGAGTAATGTCAGCAGATTTTCGGTGTTTGGATTCATGCCACTCTTGCTTCCAATAGCTTTAAAAGCTTCCACCTTATTTTTTCGCTTTATTGAAGGATTTTTTATAAAGTCTATCAGTGTGGCATCTTTCTTGAGGAGATCCTAATTCAAACACAACGACAGATTAATATCAAAATAAACACCTGTATAACTTTTTTTGTTTATAGATTATCATACCTGAAAGCTGACTAAATCTTTCTCCACTGTGTCCAAAGCCTTCTGTTTAGTCGCAGCTGAGAAAAGAGCTGTGGCATATCTGCCTTCTAATCCAAAAACTTGAATTGGAGGCTGCAATAAATGCATCAATAGAATAAAGATAAAACTGACAAGTACTTATTATATAAACACAATTGTTTATGGAACTTGTACTAGGAAATGCTGCAAAACAAATGAAGGGCTTGCTGCAACAGCAACTAACCACATTTTATAAAAACAGAATAAATAAACTCTGAAGTGCTGGAAAAATACAAATGTCAATGAAAATTTGGAGTTTATTAATTCTGTTTTTATAAAATATATGGGTTAGCATTATTGAAAGAAGGATTATAGAATTCAAAATAAAAGTATGCAAAATTACTTTCAGAAAGTTTATAGGATTGACTTGTCAAATGAGCAGAACATAATCACTTGTCAAAATTAAATACCTTCACCAGCTGCTGCGCGACAGTTGACGTGGAAAAGGTACGTGTCTGAAATGAGAATCATTCACATTGACAAGTCGTAGCAGAATACTTAGAAAACATGTACAGTAAGAACGACAAATACATTTTGATTATTGTGAAAATATACATCATATATTTATACTTAATATTTATAAATATTCTAAACACCGGAGGCTGATCTTAGTACTGAGGCAATCTAAAAATGTTTTAACGTCATAACGCGTAGTTTACTCACAATTAATCTACCAACAGACATTTTTATAGATCTTGCAGCAATCGAAGGATAAAATACGGGCTTCAAGCAGCAGCCACCATTATATAATTCAAGAGTGTGTAGGAATCAGATGGAACGAAACCTGTGGCGCCTCTATATGTACAAAACATTGAACTATGTCGTAACGGATATTACCAGTAGGTAACACGGCACGTATAGCAAAATTATATTTTCTCTAATGTTATTTGTATTATATATTTAAAAAAAAAAAAGCAACAAATGTGTACTCATCCAGTGCGTTAAAATCGTGTTTGAAAAAATAATAATTAGAAGTGCATAAAAAAAAACAGAAATTTTGAATTTATAATAACGAGAGTCATACGATGTTATCGATTGTAGGATTGGGGTAACGAATTTCCTACGGAAAGAACGAGGATCTAGTTCGCCTCACGCGCGTGAGATGTCACCAGAGTCTACTTTCGGTTAGAGGGTCTCTACTTTCGAAAAGTTGTGTGAATTGCGCTTGGAATTTGCGGTAATTGCGGTGCGTCTCTCGGAGTCTCGGGTTTGAAATGCAATTTCGCGTTTCTCGTTGCATTACATTTTAACACTGTATGTAAGTACCAACGTTTCATACTCACTAAAAGGTCAAGCAAATAAATTATTTTTCAACTTGAAAAAGCGATAAAAGTATAGAGGTATTTCAGTGAAGAAATAATCATTGAACATACTTTTACTGAAAAATCAGAAATCTTAGGATCTCATTTTACATATATAAGAAATATAATATTGTATGCGTTAATTATGAACGTGATAAACGAGAAAGGAAAAAGCATAGGAGAGAGAGAAAGAGAAGGAGAGGCGACGTTTACTTTTAGCGAGTGTACTTTTCTCTCTCCAGTTTTCCAAAACTTTTCAACCTTTAAGTGGGGTGACCACAGCACCTCAAATATAGTTTTTTTTTTTTTTTTTAAATCTTGTTCCAGGAAAGGAAAATGAAAAGTATTACCCAGAAGTTTTAACGTTCATTACTTATATATTTCTCTCACTATCTCTTATAAGGGTATAATTAAACTTTAGTACACACGATTGGCGTCATTCGTGTCCTGTCTATTTCTTTTTTTAAATATTAGAAGCACCAAATAAGTATATAGTTGTAATATTTATACATACAATCTTTTTAAATATTATATACAACTGTAATTTTTTTTAATATAATAATATCTTACGGATACTTTTCAAAAACGTTAAAATATTATGTAAGAATCACTTTCTGCATATTTATAAAAGCGATGTGTTTGGAATGACGATTATCGTCTGTAATTAAAAAACTATGGAACATCGTCGTTTTAAGGATTAATATAGACTTAACTATAGTATCATATAGTAAAAAAATATCACTGTTCAAGTAAAACTTTTTTCTGAGCATCTTGCGTATCTTTAGACCTTCTATCTACTTAAATCTGTCGAGGATTAGCTCCTTATGTCCTCGATTCTGTGGTGGACTGTATTTAAAAGTTTATATATTCTTGTAACATTATGCAACTTGTTTCGGTCGGAGATAAGCGGGGTGTGCTTATTTTTATTGATGCAACTTTATCTCAGTTTAATTTACTCTTTATACTTTTCTTAGAATTAGAGGAAGATAAAGGTAAGTTAAATCAAGATTAAAGTTAATCTAGATTGGTAGAAACGGACAGTAGACGATTTATTTTTTTTCTTACCCTTAGCCAGTTTCACTTCTGGAGCTAATCGAGAAATACTTGTCTAGAGGAGAGAGGATGTATATAGAAAGACAAGAAAATGACCGGATAAGGAATTAAGAAGATGCGAGGCGATCTATTTATTTCGAACGAGTCAAATTTATTTCATTTATTTCGTCAACGTGATACATTATATTTCATCTTAATTTGATTTCGCTATTTACGTCACATTGCGAGCCCGAGCCGGCTCCTAACGCTCGTTTTCTTTTTTTCTCTATCACCTAAAAATACGATATATCAGCGCTAATACTTTTTTTTCTTCTTCTTTATTATAGTGTTCCCTCAACGTAAAATTCGACGAAGTGAAATATTCGAGTAGTTTCGGTCCCTTTTTTACACCGCGATAAGCCTGAAGGAACGCAGAGAGACAGTCGAATCGCCAATCCGAGATGTAACAATCGTCTCCCTCCCGGTGAGTAAATTAGTACTTACATCCTCATTCTGTAACTCTAAGACTCCGTTTTATCAATGTAAGATTAACTTTAATCTCAGTTCAATTTACTCTTTATCTTTTGTAAGCATTAGAAAAAGATAAACGGAAAGTTAAATCGAGAACTAAGTGACTAAAATTCATCTATTCATTGCTGGAGCCGGACTTTAATGACAGTATTGGTATCAACATCGCTTTATTGTTGTTGCGTAATTTCTTTTTATTATACATAGTACTTGTGACGATAGCCACATTGTTACTTAGAGTTACAGAATCGAGATATTGAAGTCGATTATGTATTTTGAAAATAATGAAAGTAAACGAATTTACTAGAATATTTATAATTTTATTGATCAATGTCTAATGAATTTGCTCACTTTTATCATTTTTGCTTCGTTTCAAGATATATAATCGACTCTCTGAAATTCAAACGATAGTTACTTTTCGAAGAGAAAAAGAACGACTCGATCGCCCACGCATTTCGACATTTCGCAGTTACCGATTTTTTATAGGTACACAGATTCGATCGGTGGCCGTATTCTCGAAAAATATTGCATTCGAAAATGTACGAAAATGTTATAATATAAATATACGTTACGCACTGTTGAAGAAGAGATTTTATTCTTTAGAATGATTCTACTCGAAAAATTTAGTAGGAGTATAAATTTTCTTAGTACTTTGGTATGAGATATTTTTTAAGAATGAGGCCTAGATCGTTTCTTCTTGTTTTCTCTCTTCGATCCCGCATTACGATTGATATGTGTAATTTAATCGAACGTACAATCTCACGTCGCTTGGAATATGAGAAGAAACATGACATGGTCATTCCGTCGCGAATCATTCTGCGGCTTTTCGTCTCTTTCCGCGCAACGCGCGCTCATATAAAATAGTCATTCTCTCCTGTTGCGCGAGCACGATCTTACGATTAGTCTAGTTTACATACGTAACAACTCAATCAGAGTTACTATATAGAACATTCGAGATATCGTACGTATGACACCTTGGTGAACGTAACAATTAACGCTTGGAAAGACTCAAAGGTGCGGTCATTTTTTAAAAAAGTATGTTAGAATATTCGGATAAAAAGAGAAAGTAATAAAATATCTTGTATCTTTTATATTATATTATTGCGGTCGTAAATATGTACGGCTGTTTAACGCTCTCATATAGTATATCGATCTCTTCCTTTTTCTTTCTTTTTTTTTCTTCGTAGATCGCCCGCTGACTGGTCGCACGCAGCATCGTTATTAACCCGAAACAGTAACGCTCCATTTGTGCGAAAATACAAAAATATCCCTTTTGCACTGCAATAGATAGATTTATTATTGCGAGTTAAAGCACCAAAAGCAACCTTCCGGAACAAAACTGATCGTTAAAGCTATAGACAGAGGTTCTTCCTCTCAGTTCTCCTTTATTTTTATTGAGTAACGCCGGTACTGTTTAGGGTTAAAATCACAGATAACGATGGTGCTTCCGGCTATATAATATTTCATACATACGAGAGAAATGTATGAACGCGAACTAAATCTATATATATTCGTTTATATACATATATATATATATATATGTATTTATATCTCTGCGCAACGCTTCTCTGTGTGAACTCCTACGTATTGCTTTGTAGACAATCTCTATATACATATGCGAAACGCGAGTACCTATAGAGCTATAATGCGTGTGCGTCCGTCGCGCATTATAAATAGATATCGAGGTTGGTCCACTCACTTGTAAATACGCTAGGATATTATAATTGCTCCATAACGTACACACCTACTCGTTTTGACACGACACAGAGACGAGATTTTACTCTGACAATATAATTCGATTCGTCTAGGATTCTAGGATCTGGAGACCCGGAATCGGAAGATTACAAAGCTAGTTTTGATTACGAGCGATTATTATTAGATTTACCTTGTTGAAGATCGTCGTCGATTAAATTTGACACAATAAAGAACAGATCTAAACGCGACGAACCGAGAAAATTGGTTATATACCATAAGAGATATACGATTTTGGAAAAATTCGAGTTAGATCATCCGAGCAATTACAGCGGGATTGATGAAACGATTGTGGGGAGTGGACTTGAATAAAGAGGCTCCTCGACACCGGCGCGGCTCTTTTGTCCGCGACTTGGAAATTTAATGGAACAGCGAATCCTTAGGAGAGAAGACTACAGAAGAACGTCCGAAAAAAAAATGGGAGCAGTATCGAGTGCCACTAGAATTCTTGCTGAAAGACGGAAAAAGGTGCTGAAATTCCCCCCTGTCATCCGTTCCCATCATCTATTTACCCGTATCTATCTAGCGATTTGTGATTTGTAATATAGTTATATCGACGTCTCGAGCTTCTATATACTTTGATTGTCACCGGCTGTACGCGTGCGTGAAAAATTTGTTCCAAGGATATATATCTTTCAAACGGGACACAGGTTTAGGCCTGTTGCGGTTATAGGCCTCGAGGTGTATCTTCCGATCGTTGCAACGTTCTTTTGTCCGTATATAGTCTCTTTCATAGAGAGTATCCCAAGAGAGACGTGTATTAATGATGCGGAGACTGGTTGAGAAATTACGATAAATGAACGCGCGATATTAAAGCTTCGTCGAAAGCGAAGCGACTTTGAGCATTCCTTCGAAGATAAATCGCCAAACTATTTACTTCCCCCCCCCCCCATTCCTGTTGACTTTATTTTAGGGAATTTAGCGTTGAAATCACTGCGGAAAATATCAGTGCGTATTAATTATTCATTATTAAATTAATCGGAACTATATTACGTTTTAATGAATCGAGATGAATTATATGTACGTTAAACGTAATTAGTACTCGCGGCGCAGCACAGAAATCTGAAACCGTTGCGGAAGTAGGACGATTGTCGGTCTCTGTTGCTGCTCCATCGGTGCATCCTCCGTGTTCCGTTGTTCCGATTGATTTTGTTCCCAGGATTGTGGAGAGCCACCGGTTTCTCTAGAGAGAGGATCAGAGAATTTTATGACTCAGATCGTTATTTTTCTCATGGCCTGCTGAAGGGGGTTAGTCCTAAAATTTCGAAATTATTGCAGATTTAGAAAGGTATCGAGCGCTTTCCAGCAAAAGGCGCAGACGACACTATATATGTATAGCACAGTGAATCGTTACTTCCTTGTTATCGCCAATGTTAAACAAAGATGAAATGATTCTCACTGTGTTACATTTTGTGTTACCCAAGTAAAACACAAAGTCATAAATAATGATGTCATCGTTTAATGCTTAAAAGAGAACTCGGAAATGACAAATGAAAAATCGTGATAATATCTTTACAACATTACTATGATTTCTGTATTTTACTCGAGTAGCTGGGTCTTTAACTAGAAAGCGCCCATAACTTACAATTAGAACGTTATCTTGTCTACTCTGAAGAAAGAAAGGGGGTCTCGAAATTTCGAAATGGTAAATTTAGAGAGATATCATTGCGCTTTCCTCAACAAAAGAGATATAGATAAAACACGGTGCAGCACACAGTGAATTATTACAATCTTGTTGTTTGCTAATGTTAAACAAAGATGAAATAATTCACTGTATTATACCGTCATCTGTCTTTTGTTGGAAAGTACCCATCGTAATGTGCGAACGAGAATATACAGTACTACGTCCCTTTCAAGTTCTATTTTCCTTATTGAAAAAGGAAGACACCCAAATACGAGCCTTACGAAAAGATATGAAGCTGCGGAGGGGAAAAGGATCGCGTTGCTGAAAGGGCGACTTAATTCCGTCAACGCGACGATCGCTATAAATTGCAATACCATCGGGGGTCTTCTCCGGATAATGTCGGTATAGCGACAGGAATATGAAATTCCGCGAGAGATTGAAAGCGTACAAGGATAATCTCACGAGGTTTGATGTAACGGGCGAGAAGGATGTCGGTCGCTCGTGTTAATCCCAAACAACGGACGTAACACATATCTTCCGGTTAGATAAACTCTATCACCATTATCACCGATTATATTTATCTGTCCAGCGAAATGAAATTAATTTCGCGCAATCCCGATTATTTGCAATTCGCAAAATATGCATTTTGAGATTATATCGAAGTGAAGCGACGCGTAATCGTAGAAATTTAATAAATCGCAAATTACCTTCCAACAAATTATTTTGTTTAAAAAAGTCCGAAAAATTCGCTAGGACACCGATAAAATCGAACGATAACCGTTGTTTTAATTGTGCGTCGAATAAAAAACATTGCATTAGGGTGTATTAATTCTTGATACAAACGTACGATAATTTTCTAAATTTACTAAATTTTAATACATATTTCTTGGAACATTATTAAGTAAACATTTATCTACAGTAAATATAAATATTCAATGCTCAATAAAAAAAATGATAAGAATCAAATTAATGGCTCTTATATCATACAAATATATTTATGTTTGCATTTGTATATAATACATATTTAGAATTATTCAAACAGCTCAGATACACTGTGTAAAAAATAAAATGTTAATTTGAACATTTCTGAATGTCTCGGAAAATCCACTCAACGTGTCTTTAAGTTAAAATTAACATTTTATTTTTTACAGCGTATTTATTAAAATTTAGTAATTTTTTCATTGTACACTACACACGATAGGTCATTCGTGTTTCACAAGTTAATTTCCATCACTTTAACAAATATGTAAAAATTATTAAATAATTCTTACATACACATTTAGAAAGTATAATATTTATAAAGTTGTGCAGTTAAAAAAATATATATTAATATTAAACTAATTACAAAATTAAAACAAACTAAAAGACTCTCTTTTCTTATACAAAATAATAAACATAAAAATGGCATTGTCAGATAAATAAGAAAAATGTTTGTAAACGACAAAATTAAACCATGTATTCCAAGTTTTATCAATTATGACAGTACTTAAAAATTAACTTAAAATATAAACTGATTACTTTTAATTTGTCGAAGGAAAGAAATGTGCAGGACACGAATGCGGTGTGTATCAAGAGTTAATTCAACGACTGCATTTCGGAACAAACGGGATTGCTAAGTCAAACGAGATGAGGAGTGTACAGGAGAAGCGGTAATTTCGCTTGGCAGCGTTGCGTTTCCGCTTGCCGGAAGTATTCGTCGAACTCTCTCCTTCGTAAACCAATGGCGGGATTGTTCTGCGAATTTCACAATGTTTGCAGATTCACCGTGCCATCCGGCGATTCTACCGTTTGTCGAGAGAAACGCGATTTGTCCGGGCGCTTTTGTCGCCACGTCGTTTTTCACCGCGCGCGGTCGACGTTTCGCGGCCGTCCACCTTGTCTCTTCTCGAGAATTCTCATCTCGCGCATCTTTTCCACGCGAGCGGAAATCATGATCTCCCCGCGATTCGCGCGACCTTGACCCGCGTCATATCAAACGCCGCTGCTTTTCCTCTCGATAACCGATCGCGGACTCTCGCTTTTGCCACTTATAGTACTCGCGCTCGCTCGGTGTACCACGGAGGCTGGGATCGCGGCTCCGCCCTCGCTCCCGAACCGCGCTCGTGTTTGGAAACCCTCCCCCCCCCCTCCCCTCCCTCTCTGCCCTCCCCCTCCTCTGGCTGTTAATTACTAATTTAGTTGCGAATACATTTGCAAAACAAGCTCGCACCCGGAGCGCATTAAAATCGATTAAAATTTAGCTGTCGTGCAAAAACCATTACGCGACCAGAATCAGGAACGGCGGAGTTTTGTGTGCGTTTGATTATGACATTCAGCAAATTGAGATTTCCCGTATATATGCCGCGGGAAAAGCGTTTCTCTTTTACATATATGTACGTTCACGCTTGCATATTACGTTGTCTTCGGCCATTGACGAGTTCGCAACGCGAATACAGATGAGCGCGATATGAAAACGTTCATCGATATTGTTTCCATAAATCCTAGATTGCATCGCACGCGTTGTTTCCCCTACTTCCTACGTTCGTTAGTCTGACTCGTCATATCTCTCGTCGGTTTTTTTTTTTATCAGATTCAGATTTATCCAAAAATTTTCACATCCGAGAAGTAGTATACCGTAAGGCATTGTAGAGTGGTTACGTTGATATATGAAAAAGAAAGAAAAAAAAAGAAAACATTACGACCGACACGAGCACAAAAAAGTTGAAATTAATAATTAAAGCAATCAATACTAAGATCTAATTTAACCAATAAAATAAAATTGTATAAAACACACACACACTGGTAAAATTTCAAACGTTTCAGCTTCACAGAGCCTTCTTCAGTGTAAAACAATATTAATCGCTATTCGTAATGGAACAATATTTCGGTACAATTTTTCTATGTAAAACTTATGTTCTTTCCAACCTCTTCGTATGATGTTAATCTTCTTTTCAATTCAGAAATTTCATCCTCACATGTTCGTCATATTGTAATCCAAAAGAATATGATCGTTAAAATGCGAGAAATTCAATTGTGTCGAAAACAATATTGTCAATTCCATTAAAAATCTTTCCAAATTTAAAAGAAGAAGAAGAACAAAGACATGTTGGTACATCGAATTGATATTAGCGAAAAAAAAAAAAAAAGGATTTTTAGTAGTCGCGTCTTGTCAGTCCGGTGAATACATCATATATTTATTTGTCTATTATTACTTGAACGTTTGAAATCCGAAGCGCTTACGGGGTGTTCTGGATCTGCCGGGTGTTACGCGTTCATTAATTAAGAGGATCGTCTCAAATGTAATTCCCGCTATTATTCCTGCATTACATTGATTTATGAAGCAGAAACATAGTTTAATTCGCGCTTAAACTACCCTTTCGTCTTTTCCGTCTCGGATTCTTCTCCTCCCATTCTCCCCCTCGTCGCGCATTCCCGTGTTCTTCTGTTTCACGCTTAAGTCAACTCCCTGCAGCACAATGGAAGGCAATATTTATCGAACAAACGGGTTAGATTGTTTTACGAACGGTAGCCTAGATTTGTTGGCTACCGACGAGGTATATTTTTCCCCCCCCCCGCTTTCCGCTCTTTTTTGCCCTCTGGCATTTGCCACTTTCGCTCGTTCGCGCTTCCTTCACGGACTGGAGGAATGCATTTCGGACACAAACGGATTTTGCAGAATGGATCGTCCTTGACCCGTATTTACCAGGGTCTAAGGGTCGAATGGCGTTCTCGTCCGCGTCCACCGTATATCGACACGAGTTCACGTTTGTGGTGCACGTACTAATGACGTGCTCGAAAGCCCACAATGCTTTTCCGTTCCTGCATATTATATCGATCAAGCCTATTCCGTATATATACATCTCTTCCGTCTCGTTCCGGGATCCACAGACTTTCCGACCTATTTATCCTATATCCCCTCCACCTCTTTTAATCTCGCGCTCCGCAAAGTCCGGAAAGATTTCGACTTACTATACGAAAAATGTGTATGTATTTTTGTACGTATATAATAGAACCTCTATTATCCGAATGTATCGTTTAAGCTCCTGTTATCTAAATGTCATTGCTATGAAGAATGAACATCTCTCGTGTACGTTTACGCAACATATGTAGGCGTATGTTACGTACGATATAACATACGTCTTCATCTCAGCAATCTGAAACAAACGTACGTGTACCAACAAGACCTAAACGCTAGAGAGCAACATTCCCAGTCATTCTGAGGCACAATCTCTGCTTTAGAAGCAGGTCTCAGATGTTACGAAGCACAGAAAGAAGAAAGCGCGCGGCTTCACTTATTGCAATGTGAATATAAAGAAAAATATGTAAATTAAACAGCTCGAAAGGACTGAGAAAATAAAATGGAGAATGAAGAAAACTGCTAAACTACTATAATAATTTCTCTCTCTCTCTTTCTCTATTTCGTTACAATTCACAAAATGTTAGGATAGATGGATTTCTCATTATTTGCTGTCGTTTGACTATTCGTAAAAATTCCGATTATCCGAATACCTTTTGTTTGTCCGATCTAGATCGGATATACATAATATAATAGAAGTTGTATTATATTAACCTTCATAATATTTAATTATACGCGCAGGAGAGAAAAACAATTTTGCTAAAATATCTAAAAGTTTAACTAAATGCAGCAGACCTGAAAATAATTTTGTTGGAACATCAAAATAATTACACGTAGGAAACTCAAGCATGATGAGGAATGTTGCAAAAAAATTTTCATATTTTAGTAACCAGCTCGAGCGTCCCTCATAATTACGTATTTTGACAGCCTAACAAATTATTTTCAGATATTTAGCAGAGCCCTTCCTTTTTCCGTCTAATCTTTTTTTCTACAAATTGCTAAATCTGCTTCCTGAAAAGCGTGACTGATAGATCTGTGGGACGATCGTCACTGAACAGGGCAAAGCTCTCGTGCGGAATATGGACGAAGGTACCGGCGGAATTGTACCCGTGTCAGCCTCAGATTGGGGCATAAATTCTTGTAGCTCCGCTATCAGCTGGCCGATCTCTTCCGAGTCCTTTCGGATGCTGCAGAGCTCCTCCTCGTTGAAGTCCGGTCTAATCTGTTTGCACAGGAGGATCTGCGAGACCACATTGCCGATATACGAGGGACCAGCGCGGTTCTCTGTAACGCGATAACGGAAACTGTGTCGTTAAATTTCTACGTCATTCAACGTTTGACAATGTCTTGCTTTCTTTCTCTTCTCCCGTGATTCGTGAAATATACGATATCTATCCGCGAGGGAAACATATTTTAAGTGTGACGGAAATAATAATCACGTTCTTATTAATAATATAATATGTTAATACGTGACGCTCTGTTTAGCATGACTTTAATATAAAAGTGCATAGGGCGTTTCTCAACTTTTTCTTTTTTTTGACGAGACTTAAAAAAGCTTCCATAAACTTTAATATGTGCAACGGAGGGAGAAATAAGCGAGCGCCCGGAACAAGCTATAGTGCTAATGTCAAGGAAATAGTTATAAATTATTCGAGGCAAAGTTTCACTTATGAGGGAGAAAGATACCTTGTATTGTGGCTTACGCGCGTTATATGTGTACTTGGTAAGCGGCGGTAAAAGTTAGAAAAACGTGTATTAACGCTACACATGTAACGATGATTCGTCACTCTGTCTCCGACACGTGTACGTCGTGTACAATAGAATTCGGCTTGATTGTAGGAAGCGACGGGTGTAGCCGGAAATTGAGATTCGCCGAACGCGTATAGCGGCCTATACAACTGTAGTTTTGAGAGTTATGGTCCGTTGGGATGTACACGCCGTAAATCAGTCTATCCGGCCTGGCTCAAAGCGACCGCAGAAACCGATTTAACGTTACGCCTCGGTGCAAGTCGATAACGCAACGTGACTCGATTCCGACGACACGTACCTGCGATCTTTTAGCGCAAATCGTCTCTCGCGTTAGAATATAATTAAGAGCGTTATTACCCGAAAACGACGTGAATTAAATTTTGCTCGCCCGGCGAGCACTCATTTATTTCGCTCGAGATTAAAATCGTCAAGTTGCGACCATATACTTGTATGTAAAAAAAGGAAAAAGCTATAGCAATATTCCACGTGTTCCACTTTCCTACTTTCGCAGATTCTTTCAACAATTTATAGATAATTATTGAATTATTATGCACGCTCAACTTACCGTAATATCCGGACATATCCATGGGTATGATGGATATGAGGTTTTTACTCTTGTGCAGTTCGCGTAAGAAGAGTTGAGCCACGTAAAACAACAGCACCAGATTTGGACTGTCAACCGGTATTCCGACGTCCATAGCGCTGCAATAAATATTATATATTTTCAAAACATTTTCGATATCGCATGAGAGATTAATATATATAACCTTTAAGTAGGTAGTACGCAAATTAATAGATGGAATGCTCACATCTCAAATAGAGATTTTAATTTTATAGTTGTATTTTTTACTACCTGTTGGAATTAATATTAAAGAAACAATAGCAACCCAATCCCTTGAGTCGAATAACATTTTGTTATTTTTAGCTTACATGTGTGTGTCAAAATATAAACCATTCCATTTCTGTATGGTTAGTTTCAAAGTAAACTACATCCATATTAACGTATGTTCTTAGTAAATATTAAACTAAATTTGAGTCAATACATTTTATTCAATTAAATTGTTTAACTTCATTGTTTTAGTTGAATTAATAACACATTAAGTAAAAACAGCGTAGCGATCTATAGAAATTGTTAAAAATAATTATTAAGAATAACTCTCAAATACACGGAAAGGACGATTTTGCTGAAGTTTCTAAACATTTATTTATAGATAGGGATCTGAAAATAACTTTGTTGGCTCATCAAAATAGATCGCTTAAATGTTGATGCCAATGCTGCAAAAAGTTTTAAAATTTTTTTACAATCACTTTGAACGTTCTACTTAATTATTTTAATGGGCCAAACAAAATTATTTTCAGATTTATATCCATTTTAAATACTTGAGCAAAAACCGCGGTTCTTTTCTCGCGTGTATTATTCTTTTACATTATGAATTTCATAGTATATTATATTTAAATTTGCATTACTCTTACAAAATAGATTTGTAAAAATAACGAACTTAAAGATTTCTGAACATTTGGACAATATACTTTGTATTTTCCTTTTTCAGAGCAAGATTTTGAAGAAAATTTTACCTGCGATGTTGTGGCCACTCTACCCACTTAAAGATTAAACATAATCCCAATTCGGTTTTCCAATCTCACGAAGTAGCTAATGCAAAAAGAGAGCGTGCATGGATGTAAACGCGATGGAAACCACGATGAATAAAACCGCAAAAGATCACGTTAGCGTTACTGAATGCACGGCAAGGTAAATCGCATTATCGCGAGAAATACGAATTACTTTAATAACGACTTCCTTGTCGTTCTTCGAGTCTCTCGGATGCGCGCGCGATCTTAGTTGAAGGTCCATAAATCTGATTTCGCCTCCACTCTGTCTCGCTCCGTAGAAAGTTAATTACATTAAAAACATTATTATTATTGCTTACGCGAGGAGGTCACCCACGAGGCTTGAGTACTACTGCAGTCTCATTAACGCGCGCGTCTTACGTTATAAGACGTGTTCAAGTGTCGCTTCCCGTACGTCGCTTCTCCTTTGTTTCTCCCTACAGTGATAGTCGCGTAAATAGAAAAAAAAAAAAAATGTCGCAGTATTAACGACGTACACGTAAGAAATTTAAAGGATGACTGGGAGAAAGGTGAACTTTAGGATGATGTCGTTAAAGCGCAATCCTTCAGATGATGTATTAAGCGGGAGGACAAACGTAAACGGTTCCGAGAGCGATATCACCTTTCCGCAGCAGGTTTCGTATAATAATAATACACGTTGTGCCTTGAATTTCTGAAGAGAGTCACCGGCGATATTTTGCGAACGATGCTGGCGACGAGTAATCCGATAACGTGAAGTCGCGGGGAAACAAGTGCAGGGTATATAGAAGGCCGCAGGAAAACCAAGTACTCTGATTAACCCGTTTTACGTCAATTACCGCATCGGTCGAGCATTGAGCGAAGTCCTTGCAGAGAAACCATTTCGGTTGGCTTCCGTTTAATGAGATTCCAATTAACGTGTACGAAACAGATTGGCGCGACCGAAGGCAACTGATCTCAATCTGACGAGCGTATATTCGTGACATTTCCTTGCTGTGTTGCCACGAGGCTGATTACTTCTGCCTATAATATAAACTGCTGCTAATAACTTTTCTTCTTTCAACATTCCTTAATTATACTTGTCTTGTGTAATAGACTGCTCTGTACACTTAACTATCACTCAAAGCAGACATTCAGGAAATAAAGTTCCGATTGCATTATAATGAAAAAAATACAGACGAGGATTGAAATGAGTTTACTTTCGTTTGCCGTAACTTGTGGCGGCTTTGTAGGAACGGCTTGGAGATTTCAATATGTCGGAATTTAAATCCTTTTGCGAGAAAACCCGTCTGGCACACAGCCGTTTGCCGCTCAAGGAAAGAAAGCTATCGATTTCACAGATTGGTTCCTCGCAAAAAGTTAAGCCAGGAAGGTTGAATCAAAGGTGGAAGTGAGTTTGGTAAAAAGGTTAGCGCCACTCCCAATTACTGATCCCTTCATCATTCTTCTCTCTCTCTCTCTCTCTCTCTCTCTCTCTCTCTCTTATCCTTTTCCTCTCGCTCATCTTCACCCAGTCGCCTTTGAATAATACCTTCCGGGGCTTTGCTCACCTTAATGAAAACCTAAATGTTTCACGAATTCGTTTCTTCTCAAAATTCTTTTCATGCATTTTCATAAAATGAAAGAACAAATACGCACGATATATCACACTTATTATTACATTACGTTGCACTTCGTTAAATGATTAATTTCAACATTTTCAACTTTAATTGCGGGACTGTTTGAGCCGCAAAAGTAAAAAACTTGCTTTCTGCGCGAGTCGGGGGAGGAGGAGACGTAGGTAGACAATGGAATTTCATTTCCCTGTATTAATTTACAGTGAGTTTCTCTCCGGCCGAAACTTGAGTCGGTAGTTGACCGCGAGATATACCTTTCGTGTCCTGGAAAAACATGGCGTAGATTTAAAGCGAGAGAGGCTATATATATATGCGTGTTCATAATTACTACCGAATATTTGGAGCACGCTTCCGCGGAATGTGAGAATAATTATTTGCCGACTGCGCGTAATTAGATTGTATTGCGGTTGAATACGAGAGAGCACGCGCCGCGCAACGGGCGTTTCAATGAGCGCGCGGCGTTTAATTAGATATGATGTATATACCGACGTCGAACGACTATCGCGTCGCAAATGCCCGCGGCGTACGCACGCACCGTTTTACCTACTTTTGCTTAAGCCGGATCATCCTGGCCGTTACGAAACGTTAATTATTACGTGTCTCCGCTTGCCCCTCCATCTATTATATATATATATATATATTGCGTCAACCTCGGAACAATATCGACGAGCGTTCTCGCGTTTTCTCCAAAGAGATTATATATGTATAAAACTAGAGTGGCATAGCAACTCCAATGCACGGAAATGTTAGGCGATAGAAAGCAAATAGGATCTTTATCCTTGTTTAATTGTGACAGCGATGGGATGACGATAGGGACATCTCGTTCTCCTCTAGTTATATAACCTCTTCTCCGTTTGATTACGCTGGCAGCGTCTATCGCAACAGTTCAATTACACTCGCAAATTGTTATTCGCGCATCGCGGTCATCCAGCTAGATCGCGCTTCAAGAAGTTAGACATAACGGCGAGTGTAATTTCTTTATCCGTCTCTACGTGCCTATATCTGTCGCGTACGCAGTCTTCCCCTTAGAGGAACAATCAATCGATCATCTTGCATGTTCGATCGCGCGCGCTGCATAGTGTACCGTGTCGCTCGATTTATGTCCCCGCGCGGACATTCCGTGCGCCGTATCGCCGCGGAACATGCGACCGCTCGTGCATCGATTATGCAAAATCCACCCCAACATTTTATTCGTCCGCCTTTCTTTTTTTTTTTTTCTTTGTTTTTTTGTCGAGATCAACAACGCCGCGGCTACGCCTACGTTAATCTGGGAATTACGAGGTTCGCCCGGCTTTTCGAATTGCAAAAGCGACCGCCCGGCACACCCTGGAATATGGAAATTGTACACCTCCGGTCGCGGCGATTAAATTATTGACAAGAGATTTCGTTCTCGTGGTGGCAAAGGGCAACGCTCATATGTCGTCTCGACTTTTTTCGTACCTACGCGTGAAATTCTCTGATCTTTATTTCAAATTCCTGCTTTGTCTCTCCCGTCTTTCACGCAATTCTCACTATTTTTCATTTTACATGGAACACTCGAGAATTATTATACGCTTTCAAGCACTCTGTTTTCATTTTATCGGTCATTCAATGTTATTTGATGGCTTTTGGCAAGAGCTAGCCGACGTCTGTCTATAGTTGTCGCTCGAGCCCGAGAGAATTTCGAGAGCGAGTCGAAGCTCCTCCGCGCGATCTCGACGCCGCCCGCGCCGACGACGGTTTAATTCTAATTGCATTTTGCCGCGCGAACGACGCCGCGACTTTAGCCGCATATTCTCGTGCGGAGGGTCGCGCGCAAGTATAACAAACAAACGCGACGGGAGGCAATAATCCTCCGGCATTAATATTTGATCGGTCAGGTAAGCTCCGGCTCTCCGGGAGTGGAAAACTTTCCGCGAGCGCTACGGCGACCTGGATCAAGCAAGATCGACGCGACGGAAGCACAGCCCTATGCGCCAACATATCCTCTACCATGTGTGACAAGCGTATATTTGACTTTACGTAAATAATCTCCGCGTTATGTACGTCATCACGGCGTTGTCAGCATTTCTGTCAGCTATTTTCTTTCACGACCACGTCACATCGCGGTAATGCCTGAAATTAAGATGGACGGCTAGTTCGAAAACATGTTTTCTAATTTCCAACGCGGTGAGAAAGGAGCCTCCACTGTGTTGCGGCAAAACTGCAGCATATTCGATGCGGAAGCAATCAAACTTCTCTACCGTGACCAATTATTCGATATTGCAGTGGAACTTGTTTTGTATGTTTGGAAGATCCCGCTTAAATGTTCTGTTAAAGCGAAACCGTTTATCTCTCTCTGGTATACATTATTTCGTAACGAAATAATTTGTTGTTAATAATAACGAAGTAATTTGCAGATTCAGCCAAATCATTTGCAGCATCGGTATTCCCGATAAATCTTTTTTACGACCTGCATGGTAAACTAACAACATTTTCCGCGGCAACATAAAATATATACTGTTATGTCGATCAATCTTTTTTTCTCCCTGCGTGTGTATACTTCAAAATGTTTCATTATTATATCGTTTCGCGTTGTATTATTATCGTGAAATAATAAGTATTTTGAAGTCGAATTGAAAATACTAAATATGCTTTTATTAGACTTTTGTCAGGGGAACTCTTCTTTTTTTTTTCGTCGAGAAGTGAATTTCAAAGTCAATCGTGAGTCTCAGCCGGAAGAAATCTTACGTAAACCAGTGATAAAGAGCACTGCCTGGCGCGCCCAGCAAACTTAAGGAATGAAAGTTATTGGAAGTGCTCGGCAGCGGCGATGGCACATGACGTTTTTCCCACGACCATGATTCTTCGAACGTTCGGTCGTTCGTCGTTTCTCTGTGACCTGCATTGTGCGAAACGTATGAGGGACTGGCAGAAGCAATGTAAGAAATCGAGAAAAACTTCTCTCCCTCCCTCTTTTGGCTGCTGTCGTCGTTGCGAATCAACTTGTATCCAGAGTTTAGGGCGGTGAAACCTTGTCCTATATATGCGTCCTCGTTAATTTCGCGGTTTACATTCGCTCCTTTTCTTCGTCGCGCAAAGAAACGTCACGTAGAGTAAAGACTGTCCTCGTTATCGTTGCCGGAAACTGGCTGAAATAGTGGAGCCTTACGAAAGGAAGGAGTCGCGGAGAAAACGATCGAGAACGCTTTCTCGTTGCAGCGTTGTGAGATGATGAGTAGTTTGTCTGATGAGAGCGGCTTAACTGATCAAGCGCGAATTGTTTAAAGGCAACTTGGTGTAATGTACTCTGCGTTCCTACATCTATATATTAGTACTAAACTGCAGATATCGAGCTTAACTGTACGTGCTTTAATGTGCTTTAACGTGTAGTAGATATATTGTTCTCGAGGAAAAGTTCGAATAAAACAGGATGTTACCCTGAGAAAAATATTTTGGTCGTATAATAGCAATAAGAAGTACAAACAAAATCGAATAATCATCAATTGAAATTCTAGTTGTCGTAATTGAATTTCTGGTCATCTCGATTAGAACAGTTAGATGGATTTAATTAGCAGTGTCTAATTTCTGTTTTTCCGATTGAATCTATCAGAATTTCAATTAATGTAACAAGACTGTTCGTCCTATATTGTTTTTACTATTATTCCTTTGAATTTTTAAATTTCTATAATACGGCAGAGGAAACCTCTGTGATTTAGGATTATCTTTAAATCATATTAACGTACCGTGTAGGTTGGTTTTGAAGAAAAATTCGAACAAAATGCTGGATATTACACTGAGAAAAATTTCGATTGTACTAACGAGAAGTACAAACAAAATATGATCATATCAATCAGAATTCTAGTTGTAGTAATTAAATTTCTGATCATTTTGACCAATGTTTGATAGATTTAATTAAAATGTTTGATAGATTTAATCAAAATGTGTTCGATAAATTTAACTGTAAGTGTTTCTGATCTACCTTGTTTCCAATTAACGTAACAAGAATTTATTCCAACATAGTTCTTACTATTCGGATTTTTAAATTTGTACAAGGTCTTGGGGAAATCACTATGATTGTCTCTAGATTGCATTAAATATATTGTTTTTAAAGAAAGATTCAAATAAAGTGCAGAATAATATATTGAGGAAAACGTTTTGTGGTTGTAACCAACAAGGAATACAAACAAAATAAATTTCGCGATTATATCAATCAGAATTCTAATTATCTTAATTGAATATTTGATTACCCCGAACTAGAACGTTTAATGGATTTAGCTGTAAATGTCTGATTTGTACTTAACTTTCACTAGAAGTGCACAATGAATGCAAAACGGGAATTTTTTTTCCAGTGTAATTTTTCGAAATCTTCGCAAGTTGAGGTCGACTTTAGATCTAAGCTCACCTTTGCACATGCGGCAGTACCAGTTGAGATGTACTCTTGCAAGCCTCCACGCAGTTGCGACGCAGTTTCCGTATTTTTTCACGTAGCTCCGGACAGTCGCGCGGTTGTCCGATGTTAATGAGCAAATCTCGGAACTGCGCTACCTGACTATTTATGTCCTGGATTTGCTGAAACGTACGAAAAGTGAAACTATCAAGCCCCATCGATTATCCCAATACGCGGCGGTAATGCCGGAGCGCTTCAGCGTGTGATAATAACGTTTCTCTCGCTATTATTATATTTCTCTCTCGTTGAACAATTTCTCGTCCACACGCCTGTACCGAAAATTATATGTTTGCATAACGCCCTCGTCACATAATTCGACATTCGGTCGAGCCATTATTAAATAATTGACAGCGACAGATAATGGCCTGTATCATCGATAATTTACGAATCGATTGCATCGCGAATAATTACTAACGACGTAATAGTCCCCCGAGAGAGAGAGAGAGAGAGAGAGAGACGCGCAGCTTTCGAAAATGAAAAAAATAACACTATACTATTATATCACTAATTCAATCCTGTGGTTATTTATAATCATTAAAATTTTTCAAGTGGAATCTATAAAGAGTGAAATCTACATCTTGAAAATTGAGTCACTCTTTTTCAGCACTGCCTTAAGATTGTCTCGAGTACAGTTTTCAGATGTCACGAACCAATCAGAATGCCGTATTAGCATCTTAAGACATTACTTAAAATAGTATTATATAGTTACATAGGAATGGACTGCGAATGCCGTCCTTTCGTTACTCTTTGGAATTCCACTCCGAAAACTTTAGAGAGAGTGGAAAATATCCACTTTATGCTTTTATTCTGAACTGACTTTACTCAACCTCTTAGCATCAGCAATTATTTGCATGTGTATTCTGCAAAAAGTAAAACGGAAGAGTAACGGAGCGGCAGCGAGGAATTTAAAAAAAAAAAAAAAAAAAAAATGAATCAAGGGGGGGCTGATGCATATCAGATTGGAGATCTCGTTACGATGACGTGAAAAATGGTTGCGAGTGGGTTACGACGAAAGCTCGTTAAAGTTACATCGACTCCGAAGTAGGTAATTTCATAGTCGTCCGCGGATCGTTTGCGATTCGCACGAATCCTAGATTCGCTCACCAGTAACACCGTCTTATCGGATCTCTCGGGCTTGTCGCATTTGTCGTCGTGATGTCTGCTGGTCGATGGTGTCGGGGAATCCGTCATCATCTAATCTTGTTACGGACAATTCGCTCGCCAATCGTCATCACCCGACACTACGGCGATCCTTTCCGCGAGCATTTCCGGAGCGGCGAGCGGAAGTCTCACCCACACGGGCTTTCACCCGGGGGGGGGGGGGGACGGTCTTGACGCACCGTTATAGTTGCAGCCGCAAAGTGCACCTCGCGCGCATTCCCGCCACGTGATCCTCTCTCGTTTTTTGTGCCGCGCGCCGGTTATTTTTACACGATCAATCCCGCTTCACTTAAAGCTGGCTGATAATAGGCTTTATCGTTCTCTCTCTCTCGCCACTGGTATAGTCATCTCTCGACCGCCACCGGAGCGGTGTAGTCGCTGCAGCGTGCTCGACCTTTTCCCCTCGTTTGCTTTTTAAAGACTTACGCGACATATTCTAATCGGATGTAGCGTTAAATAGGATCACGTGCATCCTTCGATTCGCGAGCGAAGGTTAATGACGATTTCTCCGCTCTCGCAAAAGAGTTTAAATCCCGCAATTTCGGAAGTGGATTAGCGCACAGGCAGTTTCTGCCTCTTCTATATCTCGAGTTTAAGCTATGTACAAACTGCAGAGTCGGGACGACCGTCGCGTATATATCTTTACTCGTATCTCGCCGTTTGACACGGAGACGTGTCCCAGGGTTTGGTGCCTCGGGGGACGATCTCGGACGAGATCCGATATCGACGTCGCCGGGCGGTCGGGCGGGAATTTCACGAGCGGAATTTCGGTTTACGCGCGAGAAGCGGCGATCCGCGACGAGCGGCGAGGTCGCGCGGCGCTCCGTCGAGACGTCATCTCGCCCCCTCAGAGCGGGATGATCGCGTGGGATTAGTGCACCACCTCCTTGGTCAGACGCGTGACTCTCGCGTGTCTTCGATCCTCTCACGACATCACAAAGTTATAACTCTCTCTCTCTCCTCGCCCGAGATCTGAGAGAGCACTCTCTGTAGCGACGGTGCGCTATACGAACCGTAGCAATGCACGCGACAGACTGAAACGTGGGTTTCGCCCTCGAGCTCTTTCACTGCCGCGCGCCACCCTGCGACGAAAGCGCATGCCTGGCTCGCGCTACGACGCTCTACTGCGACCGTTTTCTGCCGTTTCGCAACCCTTATAAAAATAGGCAATTTGTCCCCTCTATATTTGATAACGTTGCTGTGAAACAACGTGATTTTCTTGTTTGCTTTCTCTCGTGTGCCACCTTACTGTTACTTTTGTCGTCGCGATTGCATTCTATCAGCGAAGTAGCTGCCGAGCCGAGATAGTTATTAGCGGGATAACTGGAGTGATTTTAAAGCACAACAAAAAAGTGGGGCAAAACTTTTTTAAACGAAGCTTTGTTTGCGAGATAATTGGATTTGAAAATCAGAAAATTAGGAATGTCTGTTCTGTTTTGAGAGAGAGAGAGAGAGAGAGAAAATTGATGTAATTTTCAATGACGTTCCAGTTTGATGAATTTATTTTAACAATGACTCTCTGTCTCTCTCTCTCTCTTTGTTCTCTATATATTTTTTTATGTCAAAAAAATATAATATTTCTATTATTTTAAATTAAAAAATTTTGTTAAAACGAATTGATATTTTACAAACATCTCTCTGGCGATATAAAATATTATTTATTACTTTTTTAAATAATAAATTGATTGCTTTTAATCTATGATAAATAATGTAAATTATGCATGCTATACTTACCCTGCAGTTATGAAAGGTATTATCAATTTTCCGATTAATATAATCGATTTTTCGAGAAATGGTTTTATAAAAATTTCATTTTACAATTTCCACTTTTATCTTTTCTATATGGAACCACCACTAACGAACCAATTTTGTTGTACTAATTTCTAACTCGTGAAAAAAAAAAAAATATTTTCGATATATTTAATTATTTTACAAATTACGCGCAATCAAAGCGTGACGAGCAAATATTCTTTTTGTAATTTCGTCTCTCGACGGTTTGTTATTTCTATTAAACGAACAAAGAGATGCATCGCGAGGGAAAGATCTTGAAATAAATTGCTCTGGACTGAACGTTATTTTACCGAGAAATACAATAATTGTGTTAAAATAATACAAAGTAGTATATATATATAGGGTTGCATAAGGAAAGCTGCCTTCGTTTTAACACACCCCATCGTATGCATTACGGCCGCAATGCACTTTTAGCCGAGAAACATATACAATTCCGTTTCGTCGATGCGCCCGCGGTACTGCGTTTCGCCGAACCACTTTGCGCTGAGACGTTCGGCTGCTCCGTAAAAGCTATACCGATGTAACGTAATTTCGATGCATTAATTAACGTCGTTACATCTCGGCGTTGTACATCGAGACGATACTTTCGTTATTCGTGCCGCACGTGCCGCCGACAGTCAATGCTCGCTTCCGACAAACTTCCGACGATGTTATTATACCCTTTAAAGTTTTGAGGCCCGAAAAATTCTAAGGATTCGCATAATTTCTGCAGCGACTCTTCTGCGTATGAAGACTGCAAAGTCTTTTTTCAAATTTCCCTCTCTCTGTTATTTCTTCCAGCTTCTGTTTGGCTTCTGGTATGCTGAAGGGAAATTTCATTTCGAGCGGGATTACGTTCGAGAGACTGCAGTCGATATAGGAGTCGATAAAATCCGATTAGGGGCATGCAAATTGAAAGTCACATTGATATATCTTTATCGCGTTATAGATTTGTAGATACGATATAATAATATTGTTTCAAATTACACAATATTACGATGAAAATGGTTTGTATGCATAACATTCGCGCGGACAAATTTATACACACCTGCGGACTTTTGTGCAAAATGACAATTGAGTTGCGACTCTATTAATGTCACGCATCAACTTGCATCTATGCTTGCTGCATTCGACGGCGTACACACATTCTGTAAATTATGGGCAATATATAATTATACAAATTGACAACAATCGGGACTCATCGTAGTCATCGTTGGCAATAACGCGATTGGCGCTCTTTCCCACCTATATAGTATTCGATCGGCCTGAAATTCTTGGATCTCATTAATGTCGAATTAAGAGCTCACATTGACGCGAAATATTAAAAATGTCGCAGCGAGATATTGCATTTCTCGTTTTTCTCGGTCGGAAATAGATGATCGTACGACGGAGTCGATGGAAACTTGCTCGTCGAGTTATTGTTAACCGATCCTGTTTGCTAAACCGCTTTCCCGCTTCTTTGTCTGCCATTCTCTTCTTTCTATACCTACTTTTTTCTTCTCTCTCTCTCTCTCTCTCTCTCTCTCTCTCTCTCTCTCTCCGAGAGAGTACCTTCCAAGAATATTTCCATTATCATTCAGAAGTTTGAAAGAATGCCTCGTCGTTCGAACGACTTACGTATAATATATATTATTACGTTGTGCTACATGTAAACCATTTCTGCTACCGATAATTGAGACTTGGCGTCAAGTCAAGATATATCTAAATCTCATTCTCAAGTTCCATTTCATCGAATCGTTTAAATATGAAATCTATGTAAACTTTATCCTCCTTTCCAAACTAATTAATTATAGAATACTTTCTTTTTTCTTTGCCCCGTCTCGTTTTTATTTTTAGCTTTAATTACTTCTAGTCTGCATCATTACTTCATTTGTAACTTTCTTCGTTTTGGTCTGCGTGACTGCTCGCACTTTCTGAGAGAGAGAGAGAGAGAGAGAGAGAGCGAGGGGTGTCTACATAATTTCTTTTAAAAGAATATACTATCTTACCCTGTTAGATATCACAGGAGCAACTGAATTCCTTGAATTAAATAACATTTTATTATTTTTGCTTCTTTATGTGTCAAATTAAATCCACTCCTAGTACTTACAGTTTCAAAGTAAATAACGTTCATATTAACGTATGCATTTAATAAATAATAAATTAAGCTCGAGTTTCTCAGTTCTCAAATAAATTTGTTTTTTCTAATTTAAATTATTCAACTCCATTATTTTAGTTAAATGAATGACATGTTAGAGAATCAGTGGCGACTTATGGAAAATTAAAAATAATTCAAATTGGGTTATAACTTTTTTTATATCGTAAATTCAACAGTGAGTACGTTTGATAAAGTATTTATTTCTGTATATCTACGTATACAGAGAAATAGTTTATTCTGTTTACGACACCAACGCGACTTCACTTTTTATTTACTCTCGTCTCCTCCTTCTTTTTTATTCCCCTTCGTCTTTTGCACTTTTTCGTTTTCCCTTGCCGCGCGATGCTTCCACCCTCGCCTGTACCCTTTTCTTTCGTTCCTTCGTGTGACAGATCGTAGTAGGGTGTGCCCGAACCATCGATTACCTTAAGAAATTAAATTTAAGGCTTGACCGTCGCGGGATATACCTGACGTTGAAAATTAAAAGCCTGCGAGACAGACGGCTGCCTTCCTCGTAAATTTTCCGCTAAGGCTTTGCACACATTTTTGAGAGAAGGCGAGTGTCCGTCGTGTAACCATAGTTCGTATACGATCGCATTCGCGGCCTCGCGCGAGAAAAGCGGATGAAGGGATTTTGTCGGGACTACAGCCGAGACACTAACGAGGCAATTCTCGGACAAAGGGCGACGTGATGTGCAACTGCATCGCGAGGGCACGACGGATAACGATCGTAAAATAGTCAAGAACGCGGTGGAAAAGCTATTTTCGAAGTTCGATCGAATCTCCTCGGCTGGCTGAGCAACACGTCTTAAGGAATAAGAGCGCGATCGAAATTTCGTGAAAAATTTCAAACTTTCTCAGGATCGGGCGAGTTATTCCGCTCCGAATACGATATGGTTCTACGAGTACGATCGATAGCGCCTTCTCAAACTGCTTCCTAACAATGGCACCTAGGTACGATCACCGGACGATTCAATTTGCTGAGGCGTCCCATGAAAGAACGATGTATAAGAAGAACAGGGATTCTCTCGAATGACCCTGGATAATGCTGGACTATAGGGATCACCCCGTGATTTCCCTTTGGAGATATAGGATTAGTTATTAAAATGACGAGGCTATTTTA